GTACACACCTGAGATAGTATCATAGATATATGTATGTATGATTGTATGTATGTATGTATGTATGCATATATATATATATATGTGGGTGTATGTGTGTGTATGTGTGCATGTATGTATGTATATTATATATATATATATGTGTGTGTGTGTGTGTGTGTGTGTGTGTATGTATATTTATATCATTAATATTACTATTATTATTGTCATAATTGTTATTATTATTTTTATTATTATATTTATTTATTTTATTATATATACATATATATAAAAATATATATATCTGTGCGTTTGTGTGTGCGTACGTGTGTGTAAGTGTGTAAGTGTTATATATTTTTGTGTTAGTTATAAGTATATATATATATGTGTCTGTGTGTGTGTTAATTATAAGTATATATGTATATCTTTGTGTTAGTTTTAAGCATATACATACATCTTTGTGTAAGTTATAAGTATATACATATATCTTTGTGTTAGTTACAAGTATATACATATATATTTGTGTCTACGTGCACGTATTTATACCACAAGGGACAGACCCGTAGATACGATTTTGTGAGGTAGATCTGTTGAATCCTCCAAGTAGGATGTTTCTCTGTGCATACCCATATTCCCGACGAATCCTTGCATACATACATATTTAAACTCTCCGCGGAGTGTGGTAGTGAATGGTTGTGAGTATATATCTTGAGATACATACGGTTGTGGTTTAGGGTTGTTGTGTACACATTTATTAAACTTGTCGTGGAATGGTCACTCGAAGTCAGTCCCCATTGGCCTGTGCTTGTTCTGTTTGCTGCGTTATCTTCTGGCGGCTGTGTCGGGGCTGTTCACATTTCATAGTATTGTTTGTAGTCAACACACCTACGCACAACCACGTAGAGAGCTACAGACGAACATGAGTGGATAAGTGATGGGTGATATTAAACAGTGTGTGTTGTATAAGTAATGGGAAAACATAACAGTGTGTGCATTGTGCAACAGTTGACGTGTACAGTGGATAATTAGTTGGCTCATTGAACAAGCGCCGACGCTGCATTTATCTGATGTTATGGAAGTAAAATACTCGCGCCTGAATACTATGTACCATCTGCTACATATACAACACAAAATTTATGCCTAGGCAAGGATGTCAAGCAACTCAGGTATGTTCTCCTATATCCAAATGCCGTGGCTACACTTATCCGATACTTTCCCACAGACACCACCCGCGCCTGAACTCCAATCTCTGTACGACTATAGGACATGGTAGCCGACCTGCCCCCGCACATACGACGCGTACTGACAGGCAAAGATGTCAAGCAACTCAGCTACGTGCTGCTACACCCCAGTGTAGTCGCAACACTCATCCAGCTGAGCATGAAGCAAAAGGTTGCGATGCGCAAACACGCCACCAAACGCGACGAGCATGTGGCACAGCAGTTGCAGGAGAGGTGAGGGCCTTCGGTGGCTGTGTAGGGATTTGGGGATCAGAGGTCAGGATTAGGTTATTTGTGGTTACCTGAAGAGATATATGGACTAAAACCCAGCCCCTAAAACAACCTGAACGCGCGTTTGTGGTTACCTGAAGGGATATATGGACTAAAACCCAGTCCCTAAAGCAAGCTGAGACGCGATACTCGTACGTGTTTCCGACAGGCACAGGGCATTGTGGGTTTGATTGCTTGGCTGTGGCTCCTTTTAGAGCGCTCGTTAGTTATTGGCGTTTAACCGCCGATTCGAATCGGACAGTTCGGCACCTTCTACTCACATTCGATGGACGCGAATGTAAGCGAACGCTCACACACCCCGTAACTAGTAGCAGATGTCGAAGCATCATTTATGAGCCAGCTAACTCCATGCGTACTATCACGTAGTGTGCGTTTGAATTGGCCTTCTTCTCGTTCGTTGTGTCTTGTTGCCGTGAAACCTATTAAAAACTGTCAATTACACGACAGGTTCGACTGCTGTATGTGTGATAGCTTTTATCCCACGTACCAGACATATCGGATGTCTATCTCCTTGGCTGTGTGATTGAACGATACCCACCCCATTGTACACAAAATATACCTGGTTATATAATAATCGCGCCGGATAAAGACTGCTGCATACTTATCTTTGCTTTTACCAAACTTTATACCTAGGAAGAATTTGGTGGATGCCGATACACCCGATGCAGAGCTTGAGAGCTACGACGACGCATGTGCAGAAGAACTGAAACAAGCAGATACAGAGACAATTAGGTAGATGTCTATTGTTTGTGCACTTCACTTAGTAAATATTGCTTATTAATGTATTC